CTACTGACCTTGCCTGTGATTGGTTGACAGATCTTCTGGATGCTGGGATCTATGCTTATTATTATTCTCGGTATGACGGTGGTGCCCACAATGGGCTGGCGCTGGATGATCCGTTTTTCTATCATCCCCAGCATCATACTCATTGGGCTCTTCATGGTGAGTTTCATCTATTGTGCTGAAGGAAATGGAAGTAGAGGTTTGTCTTTGACTCACTTGCTCACTCTTTCCTTTTTTTTTAGTTTATTCCTGAGTCTGCACGGTTCCAGGTCTCAGCAGGAAACATACAGGAAGCCTTGTCTACACTTAATTGGATCGCTAGGATGAATGGCACCACCTTACCAGAAGGAGAACTACGGGAACCTGAAGTGGTGTGTATGAGAAGTACTTTTTTCTTTATCTGAGTCTTTTATGACTCTCAAGACCTTACTTTTGCTTATTTACAATAAGCAAAAGTAAATAAAATATAAATCTATTATCTATATATTAATGAAAATTATTTATATTAATAATAGATAATAGATTTTTATTATTTATATAATTATTAATATAAATAATTTTCATTAATATATAGATTATATATAGTAAGGATGCTCTGATAGTAAAAATTCAGGCCAAAAACTATAAGCCGATAATTAATTATTTTCAAATTATGGTCGACAATGTTTAAATGACAGATATAAAAATTCTAAATAAATTACAATTAAAACACTACAAATTAAAATCAGTCATTTTAAATGCAACAGGTGAATTCACAGCATAATTATGTATAGTATGAAAAATGTGCTCAAGATCACATTTTAACATTTTACGTATACCGATCACATTTTTAATATGAGAAAGGTAATCATAAAAATAAAAATAGTGAAAATGAGCATGCATAATTAAATATACAATATTTACAGAAAAAAAAAAATATATATATATCAGCCAATAACCGATATGGTGCCGATATATTGTACATTACTAACATATAGACAGACACAAATCCTACACCGAAACGTTTTGAAAAATATTCAAGTGTGTATATTTCATATATACTTCTTTGTAATATGTAATAATGAAGCCTCATTCCAAAATATATAAATAGTTTGAGACAGTAGGTAGGTATTTTTGAATAGTTAGGAAGTATCTGGCAGTGAAAAAAGAGGCACTCATTCAGTACGTATAACTCTACACATTCATTTATGCATTTATATGAGTGTAAATGCACTTGAGTGCAACTAACAGAACTGTTTGTATTCAGACAGAAAGAGGAAATGCCATCACTCTGATCAACCCGGCTTTTAGAAGAACATCGCTTTTGCTGTGGTACTCATGGTAATGTCTAACACACTTCCCTTTGGTTTGTTTGTTTGGTGTTTTGTGTGTGTGTGTGTGTGTGTGTGTGTGTGTGTGTGTGTGTGTGTGTGTGAGAAAAATT